TGAGGGGCGCGCGAGGGCGCTAGCAAGGGGCGCGCGAGGGCGCTAACGAGGGGCGCGCGAGGGCGCTAACGAGGGTGCGCGCGAGGGCGCTAACGAGGGGCGCGCGAGGGCGCTAACGAGGGCGCACGAGGGCGCTACGAGGCTAGGGCACGGGGTAGCGTGGTAACCGCATGCGAGCGGTGGTGGGCCCTTAAAAAAACGGTCGGTAGGTCCTAGGGACCTCCTGCTCTGAATACCATCTCAGAATAACTAGGCAAGAATGAATGGACTAGCAGAAGTTTTGGTACAAATATGAAACCCTAGTTGGGGTTGTACCCCATATTGGCTACCCCACTACAGCCTACAAGCATAATACAGTTTAACATGACTCTGCTGTGCTGCTGCTGTGCTTTCACTGCCTCACTTCAACAATGGCTCCAAGCGGTGGTACTGCTGTGGGAAGAGTGGAAGCTAGCAACATGACAGCAATACAGTAGATCCCGTCATAACACTAGGCAAGGTGCCACGCAACTGCCCTAGGTGACAATTCATGTGTAGGTAGATACCTTGCTTCATAATATATTGTATACAATTGAACCTTTGTTCAGCATGCACGGTAGCAAACACTTACGTAAAGGGACAACAAGAGTGCTTGGCAATGGCATGAGCGGTGATGAGGTGCAGGCATCACACTTGAGATTTTCCCATGAGGTGCCCAGTGCTCCCAGGACGGCTGTTTGGCGACTGGTGAGTGGTGGCAGTGCGTGCAATGGTGGTGGGCTGCAGTGACCAGTTGCAGCAGCGAGCGAGGGGTGGAGAGGGGAAGGCGATGGCGTTGAGTGGTGAGTGGGGAGAGACAGTGGAGGGGCAAGTGGTGGGGCTGCAGGGCGCTTAGCACGGCACGTGGGGGCAGGCTGCAGGCGGATGGGGTCAGAGGTGGCAGGGGGGGTAAAGGATGGGGACAAGGAGGGGAAGAGGAAGGGGAAGGGACGGGAAAGGGTGGGGGAATTGAGTGTGATGTCAGAAACTATAGGCAGAAACAAGAAACAGGAAAGAGGATTTTCACTACAGACAGTTGAGTACATATAGCAAACCCTAATTTGGGCTATACTCGCTATAGAGTACCCACTACAAGCTAGACAAACATCACATTCTGTCACACCCCAATAGTTCACAACAAGCAGGCAGAGCAATAGTTCACAATGATAAGCAAAGCTAGAAGCTATCACATAGGGCAAAGTGAGAGGAGGAGAAACTGTGGGGGCGAGAAGATGGGAGGCGACGGCTGAAGCTGCAGACACACGGGCAACAGAGTGGCAGCACTGTGGCTATCAGCGTAGAGCCCCGGACTAAACGGCGACAGGTGCAGCTGGCTCTCTGTGCTCCCAGGAGTGCGCAGCACTGTCGCTACCAGGCGCAGAGCCCCGGACTACACGGCGACAGGCGCAGCTGGCTCTCTGGACTACAGGCGCTGCGGACGACAAGACGGCTGTATCCACTCAAGCTTCCCCCAGCTGCCACACCCTTTCACACACCCCCTGATGTACCCCTAGCACTGCTCACAACCACCTCCCTAGTACCACTCCGACGGCTCCCACATCTCACACCCCTCAGCGGCAGCAGTAGTAGTGGGAGACGAGGAGGAGGAGAGCAGGGGAGGCCCACACACCTGTCACCACCCAACCTCGCCCCCAACCCAAACACTAACACAGGCAGCACGGGGCAGGAGCGAGTGCGCGCACGGCAGGGCAGGTGCGCGCGGGGCCTGGCGCAGGCTGTACGGCCGCGCATGGGCCCGGCGCAGGCCGTACGGGCGCGCGCTGTACGGGTCGCGCGTGGGCGGCACAGGTCGTACGAGCCGCGCCGCGGGCTGTACGGGCCGCGCGAGGCTTGGCGCAGGCCGTACGGGCCGCGCGCGGGCTTGGCGCAGGCCGTACGGGCCGCGCGCGGCTGTATGGGCCGCGCACGGGGCTGTACGGGCCGCGCGCCGGCCTGGCGCAGGTCGTACGGGCCGCGCAGGCTTGTACGGCCGCGCGGGGTCCTAGGGGCGTTCGACGGGCGACGGGGGGCGACGCGCAGGCCTGCGGGGCGACGCGACGGGCCCCGGTGGGCGACGCGCGGGTCGACGGCAGGAAACCGCCGCCGCGCCCCGAGCGCGCGGCGGGAAGAAAAAACGCCACGCGCCCTGAGCGCGCGGCAGACAGAAAACATCGCGCGCCCAGGGCGTGCGATAGGCAGGACAGCAGCGGAAGCATAGGTGGGACCACCCACAGGATCGACCCAGGAGGGTCGACCTGCTCTGATAGCATGTTAGAAACAATAGGCAGAAACAAGAAACAGAGAAGAGGATTTTCACTAGCAGGCAGTTGAGTACATATAGCAAACCCTAATTTGGGCTATACTCGCTAATTTGGACAAACATCGCATTCTGACATGTGAAAGGAGGGGAAAGGAGGAGAGCGGCAGGGGAACAGGAAATGGAGCCCTTCTGCGCACAGCAGGTCAGCCGTGGGGCAGGCTGGGGGCAGAAAAGGGGGGAAAGGGGAAAAGCGGGGGAAAGAGGGGGGAAAGGGGGAAGGGATGGTGGAAGTGGAGGAGGAAGTGAGGGGATGAAGGGAGAGAGGAGGGAATAAAGGGATTGTGAAAGAGAGGGTAAAAGAGAAGAACTGCAGCGAAATAGGACACGGTTGGGAGGTTGTGGGGGAGATGTGGGGAACGCAGAAATAAGGAGGGGGGCGGAGGGGGAATGCAGGCGGAATGGGGGATGAAAGGAGGGGAACAGGGGGATGAAAGGAGGGGAACAGGGGGAGAAAAGGAGGGGGAAAGGAGGGGGGATAGGAGGGGGGAAAGGAGGGGGAACAGAGGGGGAAACGAGGGGGGAACAGAGGGGTAAAGGAGGAATAGGGAGTGATCAGAGTGAGAACGGAGGCGGAATGAGGAGTAATGCAGGCGATTAAGCGGGGGTGAGGAGGGGGCAAGGAAAATGAGGCGAAAAGAGGGAGAAAGGAGAGGGTAGAGGGATACAGGAGGGGCAGGAGAGGAAAGCAGGAGGGAAGGAGGTGGATAGGAGAAAAGAGGCAGAAAGGAGGGTGAAGGGACGGAAAAACGTTGATCAAAAGAGGGGGATAGCAGGGGCAAAAGAGGGGGAAAGGAGGGGGGAAGGAAGGGGAAGGAAGGAGGAAGGGCGGGAAAAGAGAGGGGCGAAGGTGAGAGTCAGCCAGCATGGTGATGCCAGCATGGTGATGCCAACATGGTGATGCCAGCATGGTGATGCCAGCATGGTGATACCAGCATGGTGATGCCAGCATGGTGATGCCAGCATGGTGATGCCAGCATTGTAATGTGATGGTGATGACAGCATGGTGATGTGATGGTGATGCCAGCATGGTGATGCCAGCATGGTGATGCCAGCATGGTGATGTTAGCATGGTGATGTTAGCATGGTGATGCCAGCATGGTGATGCCAGCATGGTGATGTTAGCATGGTGATGCCAGCATGGTGATGTTGCATGGTGATGCCAGCATGGTGATGGTGATGCCAGCATGGTGATGCCAGCATGGTGATGCCAGCATGGTGATGCCAGCATGGTGATGGTGATGCCAGCATGGTGATGGTGATGCCAGCATGGTGATGCCAGTGTAATTTAAAGACCAAAGTCACTAGCTAAATTGGTCTACGGGTCAGGTCCGTCCTCGGGGTTTCTATAACGAGGATGGATGGCCTATAGGGATTTAAACACTACTAGGGCAGAGCCGAGGAACATTGCTTAGGCATGCTAGGCCAATAGGGGAATGCCCCTTTGGCGAATGGTCGGTGACAAGCACCCTAGCTAGGGTAAAGAGGTCCGGTAGCCAATGGCTAATCACCTCGGGTCAATCCCTTGGTACGGACCTCGGCGGTAAAGCGCCTTGGCTAGATTAATTGATCCGGTAGCAAACCGCCTTGGGGCTCGTCCCTTGGCGCGGATCTTGGTGGATGGATGCGTTGGATCTAGACGGCAGCATTTCTATAAGCTGCCTAGGTACCTTCGGTCGGAGGTATTCGGTTCGATAGCGACTCGCCTTGGGTCAATCCCTTGGCGCGAACGTCAGGAGCATTGAATCCGATCGGCAGCATATTTTATAAGCTGCCGAGAGGATCGGTCCAGATAGCGACGCGCCTTGGGTCAACCCCTTGGATGCGGACGTCAGGTACATTGGATCCGGTCGGCAGCATATTCCGAAACACCACAGCCTGGGGAAAACGGTCCGATTGGCAGAAAGCATATCTCTATAAGATGCCACGGATCGGTCCAGTAGCAAATCACCTTGGGCCCGACCCTTGGTGTGGACCTTGGTGGATACATTGGGTTTAGACGGTAGCATTTATCTAGTAGCAAATCACCACGGGCCCGTCCCTTGGTGTAGGGCTTGGTGGAATGCGTTGGATCTAGATGGCAGTATAGCCAGTCCGATAGCGGCTTGCCCGGGTACGAACCTTGGTGAGAGATGCGTCGGATTGGGCCGGCAGCATTTACCCCTGACTAAGCAAAGTGAACCCGCTAGGGGGATCTCGGAAAGTTCTAGGGATGAATCCTAGGGGAATGGCCCTCTAGGGATGGGCTAAATGCAGTGGTTTGGGTATGCCCTTCCACTATATAAGCCTAGAGAATCCTTGTGTGTAAGCATAATCGATTAATGAGATCATTCTGCCCAAATCTCTTGCTACCAAGCTATCATAGTGGACGCACTCTGAGCCTTCTTGTACTACTCGGAGGTACTGCCGGCGGCCTAGTGACTAGGGGCGTGCTGTCGCTCTAAAGGAAGGATAGCCCGAAGAGTGGGGTTAGAGCTTCGTTTAGAGGACCATGACCGGTTGGAGAGGCGCCTAACGTACCACACGGGTGGTATAGGACGGTTAAACCCTATAGGCGGACGCGTCTGTAGGTCAGGAAATTTTAAAAGTTTCTAATTTTGTGGTGGCCCATACAGGTCCCTCTCTCCTTTTGGCTGAGAAAACGAACTTGACCCATCCGAGCATCATGTCGAGCATAGCCGCAGCCATGGGGCAGCTGCCGCGTTTTGATGACCGTGCACCGGACCCTAAAGTGTGGATTAGTCAGGCTACACGTGCCATACGGTGTTTCCTATCCGCCGTAACCGAGGATCAGCAGTTGGATTACCTCCTTATGCACCTAACGGAATCTGCTTACGTGTGGCAGAGAGTAAGGAGTTCACGACTGTGGCAGGCTTTGACACGACTGTGGCAGGCTTTCGACAAGGCGCGCTTTATTTGCAACCGCGAATGTCATGCAGCGGCTGCGGGGATGAAGCAGACGGGGGTGGAGTGGCGGAATTGGCGGATGAAGTTGCGGCCGGCCTACGTCCCCAACTACCCGGTGGCTATGTCGGTGAGACATTTCATTGAGGGCCTGGGGGATAAGAGCTTGAGGGAGAAAGTGTTGGGTGGGAGGCCGGTCTCCCTGGAGGCAGCCGAGGAAGCTGCTAAATATTTTGTGTCCTATTCGCTACCTATGGGGATAGAGCCGGTGCCGGAAGCTGCTAAGGAAAAGGGCCTGGGGAATAAGGAATCCGAGGTGGATAAGATCACCAAGCAGCTGGAGAAGCTGAGCATCCAGTTGGCCCAGATGCAGCAGGGAAGGGGAGGCGGCTTACTCCCTAGGCCGGCAGGAGGCGGATTTAAATGCTACCAATGTGGGCAGGAGGGACATATGGCTCGGGACTGCACCCAGAAGGGACGGACGGCGCTGAACGTCATGCAGCAGGTCCTGGAGGGAAAGGCCCCAACTATAGCCGAGTTCCTTAATGGGGAGGAAGGAAAGGTGGACATGCTGGTCGGACCCCGAAAGCGGCAGGCGGTCCGGGAGCCGGAAGGATGGGGAATTGACGAGGCAAGGGAAGAGCTAAGGAAAAAGCTGGCCGAATCTGGTGGAGCTGATGAAGCGGCTAAGGGGACCCGATTCGTACGGAGGCCACGGGTATCCGCCCTACCCAATTCATACAGCGTGGTGGACCAGCTGAAGCTCACCCCTGTGAGCGCCAGTGTATGGAATTACATAAGCGACAGTGATAAGGTGAGAAAGGAGCTTTTGGAGGCCCTGAAAATGACTGAGGATAAGGGGAAGGAGGATGGGGCAGCTGCCATGCAAGGGGTTTCGAAAGTGGTGGGAGCAGCTCCGCGGGAGACTAGGCACGAGGATCCGATCCCGAGCAACCTAGTTTTCCAAGTCCCACAATGCGATGTCCACCTAGGCAAGCATCGTCTGACTGCCATAGTCGATTCCGGAGCATCCCAGACGGCTCTCTCTCACGTCATCTCCAGGAAGTTAGGGTTGCTGCCCTACCTCCAGGATACCACAATAGAGTATACCACCTCTAGTGGCGAGACGTCGAAGCCGTGGGGAATTATGTCTGACGTACCGGTCCGGGTGGGGAAGCTGACCCTCCCAATCGACATAGCAGTAACGGGGGCAAATACCTATGACATGCTGCTAGGACAGGACTGGATTTACTCGGCTAATGCGGATATCCTGACCAGCAAGGGGCAGATAGTGTACCGGGTCAATACCAAAGAGACAGACTCGGTTCCTATCACCACTGGACCCGTCGGCACGGGTGGCCGTCCCTCCTATGTGTCCCTCCCGCCCCAAACACCCTGCAGGAATGATCAAAAACCTTCTCAACATTGGTCCGGAATGAAGGAGGAGGAATTCCAGCGGTGGTTGGAGGAGAAGCAGCTCCTCCTGGCCGAAGAGCAGGGGCGCATCCGGCTGACGGAGGAGGAGGAGGCGGACTATTGGGCGTGGGTCCAGGAGGAGGAGGAGTTGGATCGGGCAGAGCTGGAGGTGCTGGAACTCAAGGAGCATGAGTTCTACGAAGAGCCCGAGGTGGACGGGCTCGATGGCATACCCGAAGGAGGTAAGCCAGAAGGAGAAGTCGGGACGGATGATGATATGCCTAGCCTCTTTGGGTCGGATGGTGAACACTATTCTGACCTGGGAGGTTCGGATGGGGATGAGATGGATGGGGAACCAAAATGGGACATGGGGTATGAGGAGGCAAGGAAAGCTGTGGAGGAAAAGGGGGAAATCACGGACCAGTGGGAAGTGGATTCGATGGCGGACGGGGAAGAGCACCTGGTGGAGGTCAAGGAGGAAGGGGAGCTGGTATACGAGGGGAAGGGGCACCGGATCAGTCCGGACTACCTGTTCGAGCTATTCAATTACCCAGCAGCTGAACGTTGGCAATACATAGCAGCTACAAAGGGGGATGAAGGACGGATAGTTCTCGGTAGTTATTACAGCCTAAAAAAGAAGCCCCGAGAGTTGCCTGCCCTGCCTTCGAGGACCTGCCGGTGTCACTCAACCACGAATTGGGGATGGATCAGCAGACGGACCTGAGAATGCTGCTGGTGGAGTACCGACAGGTCTTTGCTACTAAAGCAGAACCGCTAGGAACCCACCCCACCGTCCTCCATCATATCGCCACAGGGTCAGCCAAACCCATATCCCACAAGCCATACCGGGTGTCTCCCTCAGAACGGGCTCGGATAGAAGAGGAGGTAGCGGCCCTCTTAGAACAAGGCGTGATCCGACCCTCCAACAGCCCCTGGGCCTCCCCCTGCATCGTCATCCCGAAAAAGGATTTTGGTGATCGGGTGGTGATCGATTACCGGCCCCTCAACGCGGTGACTGAAGCGGCGGACCAGTTCCCCATGCCGAGAATCGATGACATCCTCGATCGGATGACCGGGTCCCTGTACTTCTCCGTTCTGGACGTCAATTCGGCTTACCACACCATCCGGGTGGCCGAGGAGGACATCCCTAAGACTGCGTTTGTAACCTCCTCGGGCCAGTATGAGTATGTGCGGATGCCATTTGGTCTGAAAAATGCCCCTGCCACTTTCCAACGCCTTATGACCACCATCTTTCGCACCCATCTTAACGCCATCCCTTATCTCGATGATATTATAGTGTTTTCCAACAGTTGGAGGAGCATTTGGAGCACCTACAGGATGTCTTCGAACGGGTGAAGGCCAACCACCTGCTCCTCAAGCCCAACAAGTGTGAGCTGGGGTTCTACTCCACGATCTACTTGGGGCACATCGTGACACGGGATGGGGTGAAGCCGGATGCCGGGAAGGTGGAGGCAATCAGCGGCATGGTGGCGCCGACGGATGTAAAGGGGGTCCGGGAGTTCCTGGGGTGAACCAGTTACTACCGGCGATTCATCAAGGGGTATGCGAAGGTGGCGCATCCCCTCACTCAACTGCTGCACAAGGACCACCCGTTTGAGTGGACGGACGCATGTGAGAGGGCTTTTAACGCCCTCAAATTGGCCCTAAGGGCGCGTGTGATCGGTGGAATTTGTGAAAGTTTACATTTTAAGGGCGAGTTGTGCTACATGAACATATGTCGAACCAAACTCGACTTTCATTGTATCGGGGTTCGCACATCTGGACCACAACACTGCAGAAAAGCACACACATATACAAGGTCGAGTGCGCGTATTCGAACTTGTAAAAACGCACCGAACCGCATTTCTACAAAGTAGGTTACCCGGTTCTAAAAAGTAGGTTACCCGATTATCGCCACGTGGTCTCTATTCAGTACACGAAGGCTGTGGTGAGTTCGTTGTGAAACTGTTGCTACTCGTGAGTCGCTCGCACATTTCGCCAGATGCTCGAACGTGCGGGAAATCACACACGTGAATGTGAACATGCCGAAGCACGTTCACAACTAAAACTCGAGTCTTGTTCAAGTTTGCAGTTCGCATGTTGCCAAACCCAAAGTTGACGAAGTTTCGCTCGTAGCTTTATGCGACATTGGCGAAACTGGTAACCACACAAAGTTCGCACTTTTTTTTGAATTTCAAATCCGACCTCACACGCCCTAATTTCCCCACCCATCCTCGCATTTCCAGATTTTTCCAATCCCTTTATCCTCCAGACGGATTTCTCTGCCACGGCCTTGGGCGCCATCCTAGCTCAAAAGGATGGAAAGGGAGCGGAACGGGTGGTGGCGTACGCAAGCCGTACGACGAGGGGAGCGGAGAGAAACCTGTCGTCCACTCACGGGGAGTGCTTGGCGGTGGTATGGGCGATCAAGCACTTTCGACCCTACCTCTGTGGGAGCCGTTTCCTGCTGCAGACCGACCACCAGGCCCTGCAGTGGTTAATGACGGCCAAGGATCTAACGGGGAAGCTGGCACGGTGGAGTCTACTCCTCCAGGAGTATGATTTTACCATTTCCTACCGACCTGGGGAAACACACCGGAATGTGGATGCACTTAGCCGGATGCACCAGGGGTTGCACCAACAGTCCGGGGGGGAGGCACTCTCACATGCACACTCACCTCCCCTGTCCCCCACCTCAAAACCCATTCCCATTTTCACAAATCTATTCCCACGATCACCCCCACCACCACCAACTGGGGAAGGAAGCAGCAGCTCGGTTGATGGGGAAGGGGACGGCGGGGATAGTAGTGAGGAGGAGGATGGAGACGAGGTGAATGCCCATGAACCGGAGGAAATGAGCAGCAACACGGAAAAGCGGGAAGGGGAAGAAGAAGGAGAAGTCGTGCGAACCGGATCAGAGGAGTCCGGAGATGGAACCGGGGACGGATCTGGAGATGGAACCGGGGATGGCACCGGGGATGGATCTGGAGACGGAACCGGGGATGGGGAATCCGAAGAGGATGAAGCTGATGGATCCGGGGATGAGGACGGCGGGGACGAAGGAGAAGAGGATGGGGAGTCGGATGAAGCTGAAAAGGAGGTGATAGCCCCGGGGGTAGGAGGGCAAGGGACGGACCCGGACGATACCGAAGGGGAACCAAGGGAACGGTCACCACCCATGACCCAACCCCTCAAAAAGGTCAAGCTGGAAAAGGGAAAGGCAATAGAGGAGGTCGGGACCTCCGGGAAGGATGGGGGAAAGGCAGCAGAGGATCGACCCTTAGCCAGGGAAGGGGAGCTGCCGGGTAAGAATCTCGCATCCGAGACGACCACGCTCGATATATGGGACGACCTACACACCCTGTTCTACCTGGAGAGCGGGGAGGTCGATCCAGCCTGGACCACGCCAGAAAAGCGGAGGGTACGGGCCCGGGGAAAGAAATTCGAACTGCTGGATGGGGTTTTATGGACCATAAAGGCTACGGGGGATAAGAAGCCGGTCCCTAGAAAGGAGGAAAGGGTGGAGATCATCAGCTTCCTCCACGGCTTGGGGCACCTCGGGGTCCCAAGGACCACCGATTTGGTACGAAAGCAGTATGACTGGTACGGTATGGGAAGCGATGTAGCAGCCTTCGTACGTAGCTGTCCCACCTGCACATTCCAGAAGGGTTTCTGGACTGCCAAAGGGGAGCTGCGGCCGGTCCCGGTAACAAAGCCATGGGACCGGGTGGTGATTGACTTCGTTGGCCCGCTACCAGTGACGGCAAAAGGGGGGAACCGGTATATCATCTCGGCCATGGACCATTTCACTAAATGGCCCGAGTGCAAGGCGGTGAAACGGGCGGACTCGGAGACCGCAGCTGCTTTTGTAGCAGAACGGATCATCTCCACACACGGCTGCCCGCTGGTCATCCATACTGACAACGGCCAGCATTTCCATGGGGAATTCGGGGTGCTGCTGGAAAAAATCGGGATTTATCACGAATTCTCTCGCCCAGATCATCCTCAGAGCTCGGGGCTCATTGAGAGGTTCCAGCGGACTCTAAAGGGGGCATTGAATAGGCTGGGGGAGACCAATCCATTCGAGTGGGATGCGAACATCTGCTGGGTCCTGTTGGGGTACCGGGCCTCAATCCATACATCCACCAAATTCTCCCCCTTCTATTTGCTCTATGGCCGCCACCCCAACATCACTGGGAGCACCTTGACGGAATGGGAGGTAAAGGAGCTGACGGAGCTGTCCACCGAGGAGGAAGCTGATGCAGCAGCCGGGTATATCTATGATCGGTCCTCGGAGATGGAGCTGGCCTTGGCCAAGGCAGCTGAGAATCATGGTAAGGCATAGGAGAGGCAGAAGGCCGACTTTGACATGCGTCGGACCCTCCTGAAGCCGATTCGAGTGGGGGATTTCATCCGGATCAAGCCGAATAAGAGGGTGGCTTGGGCGGACCAGAACCAGAAATACAGACCCTTTTCCGGGTCAAGGAGGTGGAGGCCTTCCATGTGGTGGTGGAGGCAAAAGGGGGAGTGGTCTGGCGGGAGTCCAGGGAGAATGTGAAGGTGGTGCCAGTGATCATTTGATTTAGACCCATCCCTAAAATTCTAGGGGTAGGCTAAGGCTCATCCAACCACATCCGACCCCTTTTCCTTGTGTCAGGAGCCACAAGACCGCATCCGAGAAAGTCACATGTGTAATTTAAAGACCAAAGTCACTAGCTAAATTGGTCTACGGGTCAGGTCCGTCCTCGGGGTTTCTATAACGAGGATGGATGGCCTATAGGGATTTAAACACTACTAGGGCAGAGCCGAGGAACATTGCTTAGGCATGCTAGGCCAATAGGGGAATGCCCCTTTGGCGAATGGTCGGTGACAAGCACCCTAGCTAGGGTAAAGAGGTCCGGTAGCCAATGGCTAATCACCTCGGGTCAATCCCTTGGTACGGACCTCGGCGGTAAAGCGCCTTGGCTAGATTAATTGATCCGGTAGCAAACCGCCTTGGGGCTCGTCCCTTGGCGCGGATCTTGGTGGATGGATGCGTTGGATCTAGACGGCAGCATTTCTATAAGCTGCCTAGGTACCTTCGGTCGGAGGTATTCGGTTCGATAGCGACTCGCCTTGGGTCAATCCCTTGGCGCGAACGTCAGGAGCATTGAATCCGATCGGCAGCATATTTTATAAGCTGCCGAGAGGATCGGTCCAGATAGCGACGCGCCTTGGGTCAACCCCTTGGATGCGGACGTCAGGTACATTGGATCCGGTCGGCAGCATATTCCGAAACACCACAGCCTGGGGAAAACGGTCCGATTGGCAGAAAGCATATCTCTATAAGATGCCACGGATCGGTCCAGTAGCAAATCACCTTGGGCCCGACCCTTGGTGTGGACCTTGGTGGATACATTGGGTTTAGACGGTAGCATTTATCTAGTAGCAAATCACCACGGGCCCGTCCCTTGGTGTAGGGCTTGGTGGAATGCGTTGGATCTAGATGGCAGTATAGCCAGTCCGATAGCGGCTTGCCCGGGTACGAACCTTGGTGAGAGATGCGTCGGATTGGGCCGGCAGCATTTACCCCTGACTAAGCAAAGTGAACCCGCTAGGGGGATCTCGGAAAGTTCTAGGGATGAATCCTAGGGGAATGGCCCTCTAGGGATGGGCTAAATGCAGTGGTTTGGGTATGCCCTTCCACTATATAAGCCTAGAGAATCCTTGTGTGTAAGCATAATCGATTAATGAGATCATTCTGCCCAAATCTCTTGCTACCAAGCTATCATAGTGGACGCACTCTGAGCCTTCTTGTACTACTCGGAGGTACTGCCGGCGGCCTAGTGACTAGGGGCGTGCTGTCGCTCTAAAGGAAGGATAGCCCGAAGAGTGGGGTTAGAGCTTCGTTTAGAGGACCATGACCGGTTGGAGAGGCGCCTAACGTACCACACGGGTGGTATAGGACGGTTAAACCCTATAGGCGGACGCGTCTGTAGGTCAGGAAATTTTAAAAGTTTCTAATTTTGTGGTGGCCCATACAGGTCCCTCTCTCCTTTTGGCTGAGAAAACGAACTTGACCCATCCGAGCATCATGTCGAGCATAGCCGCAGCCATGGGGCAGCTGCCGCGTTTTGATGACCGTGCACCGGACCCTAAAGTGTGGATTAGTCAGGCTACACGTGCCATACGGTGTTTCCTATCCGCCGTAACCGAGGATCAGCAGTTGGATTACCTCCTTATGCACCTAACGGAATCTGCTTACGTGTGGGCAGAGAGTAAGGAGTTCACGACTGTGGCAGGCTTTGACAAGGCGTTTCGTGAGCGCTTTATTTGGGAGTCAACCGCGAATGTCATGCAGCGGCTGACGGGGCTGAAGCAGAAACCGGGTCAGACAGTGATGGAATTGGCGGATGAAGTGAGGCAGTTGGCGGCCTACGTCCCCAACTACCCGGTGGCTATGTCGGTGAGACATTTCATTGAGGGCCTGGGGGATAAGAGCTTGAGGGAGAAAGTGTTGGGTGGGAGGCCAGTCTCCCTGGAGGCAGCCGAGGAAGCTGCTAAATATTTTGTGTCCTATTCGCTACCTATGGGGATAGAGCCGGTGCCGGAAGCTGCTAAGGAAAAGGGCCCGGGGAATAAGGAATCCGAGGTGGATAAGATCACCAAGCAGCTGGAGAAGCTGAGCATCTCGTGCGGCAAACCACGCAGTGGTATGCTGTCAATCAGGTGCACGATCTGGTGCACCTTTGGGATGTTCCAGTCCGACGTCTGGTCAAGGAAAGCGGCCTTGATGGCGTCCACCATCCTGCATGTACACATGGGAAGCATGCTCAGGCCGGAAAGACCACCTATCTCCATCATCACCCCCATGCCCCCCTACAATGCCGCATACTGGAGGCCGCCCTCAACGCATCAACAACGAGGAGGGTACGTACTGCACTGCCATCCCTCGGACGTCGTCCAGTGACTCGTCAGTGTGCTTTGTCACGCCCACCAGCGCCTTATAGAAGCTGGCGTACGCCACTAACGCCGCGACCTCCCGTTCCCGTTTCTGCTTCGCCTGTGGCTTGCTCTTCTCCATGTTGTCTGCGATCAGCAGGGGCATCACCTGCATCATCCCCCTGTGCTCGAACGCGGCGTAGTTCGCCCCTGTGCTGAACCAAGTGGTCCCCCCCGGTATGCGCACCACACTTGCCCGTGTATCCTTCTTTTGCTCTTTGCGGCGCCTGCCATGCGATGAAGATAGGGTCAGCAAAGCCTCATAATGACCACGACCTTGTCGTCATTCCTTTCCATACCCACCTCTCGAACTCACGCCGCTCCGGCTAGCTCTTCCCAACCATGAAGCACTTGCCCATGCGTGGCAGCATTCCCCCATCCAGCACGTGGAGAAGGTCCGCCGCACACGCGAGGAACACATTTCCCCACGTTGTCTCTGCGAAGTTCCACCTCTCCGAATAGCACTGCCACACATAACAACAGCGCGCATATGAAATGACGTGGCATCACCACGCCAAGTGCAACATTTCATGCCTGGGAGCATACCGGGACTGAAACTGCTCACCTGCACAGGATGTGTGGACCATCGTCTCTTGATTTTCTCCGCCGCCTTGCTCTCATCAGCCGTCTGAATTGCCGCCATGACACGTCTGTGCAGCTCCACCGTCCGCACCACCGACTTCTGTGCCAGGTCTATCAGATGTGTCTCCTTGATGTAGCACGAGGAGCATGGCCGATGTGAGCCTTGCTGCATTGTTGCAGTAGACCGAGACGACTCTGGGAAGTCCCCCAGCTGTCCAAAAAGGCAGGGAAAGGCCTTCATCACCTTGCTGGTCGCGTCTGTTACATAAAACCACCGCAACTCGACGCTGCACATGGCGACATATCAAATGGTGAAGCTGAACAGGTCAGGGTAGACCGCATGTGATACACGCCCCTACCCACTCACCCTCTGTGCGCCCAAAGTAGGGGCTCGAAGATCACCTCCATGCACTCCTGTAATATTCGTGTCTTCTCCGTCGACGACGCCCACTCTGGTGGGAACGGCAGCACACCCGCCATAACGTGCCCCAGCTCCTACCAGCGTAGCGCTTCAGGTATGTTGAACAGACTAATTAAAACCGGCCATGCCGCCAGTCTACCATTCCTCGAGGCGTGCGTGCTGTCACTGTACACTATCACCCCCAGCACATGGCAGTCCTCGTCTCCAATCAGCGCCTGCGTACATGAGCAGACCCAACTGGAGTAACGGAACGCAAGGGGGGTTTCTGCGCATTCCATGCAACATACCCTATTACATACCTGCGCTTCTTCCAGCCACTTCCTCGTGTCGGGGGTGCTGTAATGCCGGAGTGTGTCGTTGGGTTCTGTGTCTGCTCGAGGCTTGGTGACAAAGCCCGCAATATGCTGGAAAGCGCAGAGCAATTTCTTCACCAGCTGCCACACGCATGCCCAAACGTGGTTAATGATTTGCACTATTTCTCCACCCGGGTTGCGCCCCTCAAATGGCCCTGTTTCGGGCCGGTAAACATACACTCACCAGCTCCGTATCCCAGTAGTGCAGAAGCAGCGTGCACATCCTGCCTCTCGGACCGTAGCACTTGATGTCCTTCGTCTTCCATGGGACCTGATCCGTTGGTGCCCTGTCGCGTCCAAAACATCTCACGTCCACAAAATTGAGCCACCTCCTCACATCCCTCAATGAGAAATTAGGGTTCTGAAATATGTTCAGTAGTCTTTTCACCTCCCTTCTCGACAAATTGACCTCTCGGAAGAAAATGTACATCTCCACCAGATTGTTAAAGTCGTCGTCTATCGCGGACATGACACTCTCCTCCCCATCGCTATCCTCCTCAGGGCCTTCGGGAGGGTCGGGTTGATCGGTAACTGCAGCAGGGTCCATTGCGGCCCCTGCAGCCGAGTTGTCGCCATAGCTGCATTGAGAACGCACGGGTGAACGGGGCCTTGCTCCCCGCCTGGCGCGCAGCGTGTCCCGATACGCCTCCACCAACCGCTGGGCACGGGAGTGTTGTATCTTCCTCCTGCACTTGACATTGTTAGAAACATGCGACTAGAGCGTGTTGTCGTCAACGTGCTCCACGCCGCATGCCTCGCATGCGTTACCCAACATAGCAAGAGGTGGCGCAAACCCTTATTGCAAATTACCGATGAATTGTGCCTATCGGACGCGCGCCCAGATGTACCAGCATCCCCCCCAGTGCTGGGATGGCCCTTTCAGAGCGGTGCTGGAGACTTTGGTAACGGCGCGGATCTACGCGTGTACCTGTTTTTAGCCTCATTACATGTGCTCGGTTAAGCCGAAATGAGTACCTCGGTTTGTATCGGTTGATTATGCATCTTCCACCGGTGTGCTCCTATTACGTGCCCGCAGTGGGCCGTGCAGTGCATACGTTACACCACAAACCCTCAACCATGTACTATCCCGCATGACACTCATGATGAACTGCCTTGCGTGCAAGACCCCATCTTCCAACTGGTCACTGTACAATGGCTCCATCCGAGCCACTCATTTTACCTGCTTTCACCCCTGTGCGGATAGTTGGTGGTGTTAGAATGTCTAGGCAAGAATGGCTGAACTAGTAGCATGCAGGTGTACAAGTAGTAAACCCTAATTGGGTTGTACCCCATGTGGGCTACCCCACTACAGCCTACACAAGTATAACATATATAGTTTGACACACCCCCATAGGCAAAGTGGGGGAGAACAAGTGGTCACAAGACCAGTCTAGAGAAGCAAAGCAAGCTCAGGGTGGATCACAACGTCACCACACACTCTGAGCACAAGCAAAGGGCCAGAAGGCCAGTTCACATGCAGAATTATATAAGCAGCAAAAACAGCACAGTGATCTCTACCTAGCAAGAGCAAGCATGCAGGTATATATATAGAGATCACAGTATAAGTAGAGTCTACAACAAGTGTGGAAACGTAGGCACAAGGCCTAACAGGGTACAAAAGCGCTGATGATCACCAGACGAAAGTGCCTTGGTGAATATATCAGCAGTGTTGGCCTGGGTGGCCACGTGAGCAAGGCGAAGCTGACCCCGCTGCTGCAGCTCTCGAGCCAGGAAGTAACGCAGAGCGATGTGCTTCGTTCTGTGCTCCAGTCTGTGCTCCTCACACAAGGCGATGGCGGCCTTGTTGTCGACGTACAGAATTGGAGGAGAACGAGGCCTCTCTCCCAAGTCGGTCAGCAGGTAGGTGAGCCAGCGCAACTCCTGAGCAGCCATGGCTGTGGCGTAGATCTCGGCCTCACAACTGGAGCTGAGAACAGAAGACGAGCGAGTAGAACGCCAAGAAACAGAACCGGAGCCAAGGCTGAAAGTGTAACCCTGTGACGACCGCTGTGTAGCCTGGTCGTCAACCCAAGAAGCGTCCGAGTGCCCAGTGAGAACCACGTCTCTCTGCCCTCCAAGCACGAGCCCCATGCCCGACGTACTGCACAAGTAGCGCAGTACCCTCTTCGCAGCTTCCCAGTGCACCTTTCGGTGTCGACCAGGAGCCACGTAACGGGCCAGAAGGCCAAGAGGGTACGCAAGGTCAGGACGAGTGCAGGTCATCAGGTACATGAGGCAGCCCACTAACTCTGGGTAAGGACCACTCGACTCTACGGACTCGTCCGAAGGTGGAGCTGAGAGCGAGTGACCTGTAGCCAGAGGAGTGGACTGTGGCGAGGACCAGGTGAAGCCGAAGCGCTGAAGGACTTGCTGCACCATGTGTGACTGAGTCAGAGTGATGGTGCGGCGTGCTCTGTCCCGGGTGATCTGCAAGCCAAGGTAGCTGCGCAGCTCACCCAGGTCTGTGCACGTGTGTCTCTTCTACAGCTCCGACTTCACCAGGGCGAGAGCCTCAGTGTCAGCAGTGGCAAAAACCAAGTCGTCGACGTACACGAGGATGTAGAACGGCGGCAGCAAAGTGTCGGTGCGCAGAAACAGCGACGGGTTAGCAGTCGAAGGAGCAAACCCAAGAGCCGCAAGTGTCGTCCTCAGTGTGTCGTGCCACTCATGAGGCGCCTGGCGAAGACCGTAGACTGGCCGCCGGAGGCTCCACTGGGTACCAGAAGGGAACGACCCAGTGAATCCAGGTGGGCGGCGCAGCCAAATCTCCTCGTGCAGGCTGCCCTGTAAGAAGGCTGTGCTGAAGTCCAGTGAGTGAAGCTCGTAGTCACGCTGAGTGGCAACGTGCAGCAGCACCCGAAGAGTGGTCATCTTCGGGGTGGGAGAGAAGGTCTGGAAGAAGTCGACTCCCTCTCGCTGACTGAAGCCTCGAGCAACGTAACGAGCCTTGAAGACAGGCGGAGAACCTGGCGGCCGCTTCACCCTGAAAATCCACATGCCATCGACGATGTTCGCCCCAAGAGGGGGAACCTCATCGACGTAAGTGCTTGTGGACTTCCAGGATGCCATCTCTGCGTCCATGGCTGTCTGCCACTGAGAGGAGTAGGGGCCCGCGATCGCCTCAGCGTAAGAGCGCGGTGTGGGGATGTCTATAGCATCCGGGTCTCCCTCAGGGGCAAGTAGCATGGCCACGAGATGAGGCGCAGCGGCCGCAAGACACTCAAGGTCCTCCTGTCTATCCACAAGGACGTCCGTGCCAAGAGCACACTCACCCCCGACGGACGGAGGACAGACAGACTCAGACTCAGCAACTAGACTGGCAGCGTAGTCTAGACGACAGGCAGCAGCAAAGTCGACAAGCTCAGCGACCAAGGCAGACGCAGCAGCAGACTCAAACGACGGGTCGGTGACAACAGTGGCTAATAGACGCGTGACAGTAGGGTGCTCAGCACGAAACCGGTCAGACTCAGGGTCCGCAACGTCAGGCAGAGAGGACGCAGGAGGAGACGGCAGAGGAACAGACTGCGGAGCAGAGAAAGGACGACGGACGACGAGGTGCGCGCTGGGGACAGCCGGAGGAACACGACGACTGGTACGACCAGAACGAACAGG